CCATTACAGAAAATTATCCCAATAAAACTGCAAAACTTAGTGTATTTTAACTACTTGTATCAATTTCTAAAAATTAATACAGTCTTTCGAAGTAAATTAATTAAAAATAATATTAATGTGGACACTTCGTTAACATATGAATGGCGTATTCATGGGTGTATTTAAATCACGAATTTAACACATAATAATGTTTTGCATTAGGCAAAGCATCTTGCGTTACGGGTAAGTTAATATTCAGGGTAGGCCAGTACATGAGTTAGAACTATTTTCAAATCACGAAAGTACTAACAGTACTTTCGAATTGCTATTAATAGATTAATTGAATAAATGCAAATATGTAGAATAAAATAATAAACATAAATTTAAACAGCTTTCATTAATAAAAAAAATATATATTAACGACAATATTGTATCAATTCATGTAATAACAACAAATGTACGCATTTCTACAAAATTTCACTATTTAATTCATAAAATTGTAAATTAATTTGTAAATTTAATCCGACAATTCTTAACGAAAGAATTTAATTATCTAATCAGAATGTGTAAACAGTACATATTGTAAGTACCCACAGATCGGGACTGGGTTGATAAGAAATATAAAAAGGTTCTTGACCGATGCAGGCTTTTCAGTCATAGTAAAAATTAAAATTTTATTTTCAGAAAAATTGCGTTTTTCTATAACATCATATTGCATGCCTTTGTAACGTTAAAATAGTTAAGGTGATTAAGGCCTAGTAGGCACTGAAAGGGCTCGCATGGATTCTTGCTTTGGAAGTACTTCCAAAAAAAATTAAAAGTCCGTGTTTTCAAATTGCATGCCAGTAAAAAGAAAGGAAGTTTTAGTTATAAAATCCTTGCGAAAAAATGGCAAGCACCGTTTGTTGGCATAAAGATGGGAAATTTTCATTTTCATATGAAATAATTCAAAATCACAGCTAATTTTTCCATTCTTATGCCAACGAAAGGGCATGCCATTTTTTACGAGGGTTTGTTGTATCACTAAAAATCCCTTTCTTTTCATTGGCATGCAATTTTTTACATTAATTTTTTTTTTGAATTAATAGCTATTTCTGATTTAGAATCGTCTATCTCCTTTACTATTATTTACATTTTATTTATTTAGTTTATTACATTTTTATACCTTCATAAAAAAGCTAACAATTTTTTGTCCGCATTCTTAACTATAAACATCTTTCTCTATCAGAAATCGTATAAAAAAATGTAATGTACAGGATACGAGGTAAAAATGCCCACATTAGAGAAATATACAAAACAAAGAGAAAAACATTCATATACATCAACACTGTTGTGTTGTAAAATCATAATTACTTTCATAGACTGCTGATATATCAAATATATTTAGATTATTTTATTAAAATCCGAAAATTTAGTTGCTTACAAATTCCGACTCACACTGTAACATTTCTATCTTTAATTAGACTACAGCGCACTCATTTTATTTCCCGCGAAGGCATTATGATAATTTAAATTTAATTATTTCAAACACTGCTCATAATTGCTAGTCCTTCATATATGCAACCCACTGTACTGCAGAGTATTCTCATCGTCAGACAGCAGTAAGAGTTAAACTTCTTTCAGTAGTCTCCGTTTTCAGAAAAAGGGTTTAAAATATTGATTAGTAAATTTCAGCCACAATTTTATATGTGTGCATCCCTTTAATTTATCGAGAAATAAAAGCTATGTCTTTAAATTAAAATTCGAAAGTGCACCCCGGTAATTTCAACTACTTTAATCTTTTTAACTAATACTAATTTTGAAAGTTTCAACTCGTGTGATAAGGGAGAGATTAATTTATTTATAAAAAAAACAGCGTTAGATTGAGGATTAAACGTTTGACACTTTCTGCTACTGATATGTATAAGGAGATGTTAATTTCTAACTATAAAATTCTTTTTAGCGATGCTTCACAACTTTAGGTATTTTTAGTTGGTGTATTAAGGGAGAAATTCATTTATCAAGAAATAAAAACGATACATATTTAAGTAGAGGGTTGCAAGTGAACCCCGCGTCATTTTCAACCATAAAATTATTTTTACTGATGCTTCATAACAACTTTAATACATTTTGGTGCTTTCAGCTGGTTAAATAAAGGAGAATTTAGTTTGTGAAAAAATAAATACAACACTATTAAACTGGGGTTTGAAAGTACACCTCAGTAATTTCCAACTATAAAATTCCTTTTATTAATGGCTCACTACAGCCCTAGTACATTTTGATATTTCCAGCTAATTTAATAATAGAGAAAGTAAAAGGTAAAAAATTAATCCTACCTTTTCAATATAACGATGATTTGGAAAAAACAATCCTGGAACAACATTGTGGTGCCCACTTCCTTAATTTTTCTTCATTAGTCAAAAGCCAAAACACTGGGAGAAAACTCCATAGGTTTAAGATACTAAAACAATAGTAATTTTATTTTATAACTAATAAGAGAAAATGTTAAATAAAATCCTACTTTTCTTTGTAGGCCTGTGAAGTCCAAAATATTTTTACGGTAGTGACTTCCAAGGAATTTTCCTTCATAAGTTAATTGTTCAGAATGCTGAAACAAAAAGAATATTGTTTCAGCCTACAATATATATATTATTTCAATTTTAATAAACCCTTTCTACTACTCGCCAATGTTGTATAAGGAACATCTGTGCAAAATTTCAAATCTCTAGACCCAGATATTTGGGCTCTACTTTAATATAAGTATCAATCAGTAAGTTTATCCTCTTATATATTTTTATATCGCCTATATTCTTAAAAAATACAACATTCTTCTAGTTGAACTACATATATAATATATACGAACCTTAAGAGTTATGATTACGATCAAAGATGTGAAAAGGAATTATGATACAATTAGTGTCACTGTTATAACAAACTGGATTTTGTAATTAAAATACACGTGAAAATTGAAAAATGTTATTAATTAATTACAAACAACAAAACAAACGTACAAAAGGTTACAAACAACTAACCATAGATAACGGAATTGAACATAGATAAATAGTAACTAATAATAATCTACCGATCGACCTATAAATACCAACCTATGTTAAATAGATATATTAGAGGTTGGAATTCACTGCAACATCTAACCACAGTTTTTATATTTCATTTTGCTAAGGGAACATACTTGTAATGTAAATGCAGTATGGCATTAGCAAAGTTAACTAATTCTTTTCGATGTCTATTACAAAGAAAGCAATCTACACAAAATTGTCTGCATACATCCGCGTTATTATCTGCTTGGCAAAAAGAAAGAAGAGATCCAAAAGGATGGCTACGCTATAATAAAGTAATTTATCCACCTCAGTCACTTAACGAACAACCAAGACCTGCTGTAAGAATGAAATTAAAGATTATTTAATGATTTATTTATAGAGCGTTTGTAGTTTGTTTGTCATCAAAAAACTAATATTAAGTATAGCCCTTGGAAAATGTGGTACATAGCATGTATGGTACGTGGATTATCAGTAGATGAAGCAATAAAACAACTCAAATTTGTTATGAAGAAAGGGGCAAGGTATGTCAGAGAGACTATCGAAGAAGCAAAAGAATTAGCAGTTAAAGATCATAATGTAGAGTTTGGTAGCAATTTATGGGTGGGTAAGTTACTTCTTAGCAAGTATCTGAAAATTGAAATTACTAAACAAAATTACAGCAGAATCATTTGTTGGAAAAGGTGAAGTTATCAAAGGAATAAGAAGGCATGCTAGAGGTAGATATGGAAAAGTGGAATATTTTCACTGTCATTACTTTGTCAGATTAGAAGAAGGCCCCCCACCAAAACATTATTATGCAAATCATCCAAAAGAACCCCATGAACAATTGCACGATTGGTTAAATAATATGAGAAAACGGAAAATTTACAATTCATTATAAAAATAAAGAATTCATCACTTTTATCTTTCGTTTTCCTTAATCTGACAACAAAAACTAGTTAAAGTAATATTTATAGTGGTTTTATTATACTAACGGCAATTTACAACTTAAGCTTGGTTCTACGCCAGTGACGTCTCTTGGCGTTATAACTGAAAGAAAGACGTATTTTGCAATATAACTATTATACATGTACATTTATTACTTACCGAATTGTATTGCCTGTCCTCATTCTTACCCATTGTGGAATAGGTCTGTTTTGCTTAAGCTTTTTCGCTAATTTGCGTTTTATTATGAAGGTCTTATGTGCTGACTAAAAACGAAAATGTAATTAATAAGTTCAGATAGTATCATTTGTGGTAGAAATAATGCAGGAATACAAAAATTGGTGATTACATTAATATTAACTGATATATTCTTACCATTTTGCTTCTTGTTTTGGATGCCTATCCAAATGAAGAATGTGGTTGTCAGACGTAGAAAATATAGGCAGATTTCAATATATTAATAATCTATGATATTAAGTACATAGGTTAGGTAAAATATTTTTTGACATCAACCATAGATAACATCAACAGCGCTACCAACATTGTGTACGATATAGGTTTACCACGTTTACGACTCAACCACAGTACCAATACATTAATTTTAATTTTAAATTCAAAAACTTAACTGTTTCTTAATTAGTTAATTTCAGTATCCTAATTTAGAATTAGGGTGTACATTGCTTTACGTAACAGAAGTTCAACTTTTTCTTTTACATTTGAGATATTTGCCTGTTTTCGTCCAATTTTTTTTATTTTAGTCACAAATTTGTTATAAACTTTCGCTCAGTATTTGTTTTGTTTTTTTTTATAAGACGGTAATTTGTCTATTTGATTGTATTTAATTCTCACTTTAATTCATCTCTATTTAGATACCTTTCTTATGATTTTCCATAAATTGTTACTTTGTCTTGTTTCATTTCTATTATTGTCTATTAAAATATAAGACAAAAAGGCAATTTTAAAGTGAAATAAATCACTGTGATATATCACAAAATTGAAACATTACTTTCATCATTATTTTTCCAATGATGTTTCATCCTTTCATTACTAAAAGTTGGTCCTAAAATGAATTTCTCATTTAAGTCATATAGGTATCTGAAAAATTTTTCTTCCTTATTGGAGTAAATTTGTAACCTAATGAGATGTTAATATAAATCTTTTAATATATGCAGATATGGATTGCTTTAATGTGTTGATTTCATGTCAAAACTTCAATCTGAACCAGGATATTGATTTTGAAAAATGAATGTGATGCATGTGTGTTTATTAATATGAGGAACAGTTTTCATAAAAGCATGAATGCATTGAAATTTAATTTTTGAAAGGATACGAAAATAACCACTAGATAATTTTTATTTTATAAGATGAAATTCCTACCATATTATAAATTATTAAACATCGTAACCAACAATATGACGTTTTCCAATGCATTCGCCAACATAAAACCAGCAAAGTACCTCAATAGTTACAAGAGTATTTAACCAACCTTCTCTAACTGTTAGATCTTTCCATTTGCCAGTTCTAAATCCTTGTATGAGTCTTCCAATACCTGCTCTTATTTGGGGAATGTCTCCCGGCGTAGGTGGTGTTAACTCCACTTTGGCGTATTTAAGAAAAGTTTGAAATTTTGGCTGAGCTTGGGCAAGAAGGTCTAGAAATTATGTAACAATTTTATAGGTTAACATAATTACATACATATATAAAATCTTACTTCTTGCTAAAATTGGTGCTTGTGAAACTAATTTCGACATGTTAATGATCTGGATAACAAAAATTTCAACCTGTGAAATTAAATTATTCTTTGTTCCCTTATAATTACAGCTAATTTATTATCAAATAAACTTACCAACCATATACCGTCCCAAATATAACGAACTCCTGTCAAAGTTTGACTTTTGATATCTATGTCGACATGGTCGACATCTATGTTTGAAATTGATCAGTTACCAAACGGTTATCAATAGATTATAATTTGTGTCTCAATGCTAGTCTATTTATTGATTACAAATAAATTGTCATAATACTTTAGACTTGCAATAAAATACTGATAATAATAAAAAAGAACTTTTTAAGGGAAATCGTATACAATAAGGTTTTTTGTTAAATGTTTCATGAATGAGACATTTCTGTCAGGCAACGCGAATCGATACTTGATACACTATTATTGTCAGTTGGATTTTTTACAACCTGCTGTTTCATTGAGTTTTTCAGATATATATTTTTGACGTTTACTGAACTATAATATATAATAAGTGTGATAATGAGGATGAAATTTTAGTATTCTTATCAAATTTAGTTATAGATAAGAATTTCGTTGTATGTTCTAATTGTGTGTACGTTTTGTCAGTGTGTCAGCAGTAAAACAATAACCGTACAGTAACGTAATGCGAATGCAGATTGCCATTTGCGTGGTTACTCTATTTACGTTTGATTCTTTTCATTTTTATCCAAAGTTGGTGTCCGAGAGAGTCTTTTATTTCATTAAATAGGAATTAAATAATATACTCTTATTTTAAAGTATGTGTACTTATCAGTAAGACCGTTTTGTTTTGAAAAACAGTAATGTGAGTGCATTAATATGGCTTGTTTAGATGATGATACAAGCTGGTGAGTGGTTTTATTAGAGGAAGAAGGATGTTTTCTGTATAGTGTATAGTTTTGTTTTTAAAGGGTTGCTGAACTTGAAAATGCCCTATTAGAGGAATGTACAGCTACAGATATTTATTGTATTTGTAATGGGAAGTCATTACCAGACCATTTACGTGCTGAAGTGTGGCAAGTTCGTATTTTTACTTTATTTTAAAAATTTTCGTTATTACTAAGACTACACCCGATGTCACATTTATTTCAAAATTAAAAGGGTTTCTAATCAAGTCATTTGGTAAATATTTACTCATACTATCATATCTTTCTTTGATGTGTAATTAATATTTGAGCTGAATTGTAGGTTTAGATTATAAAGTGGATCAGTGGTAAAAATATGTAAATATTACCTTGGATTATTATTTACAGATTTGTTTAGATGTAAGAGATAAAGGTAATCAATTAGATCATTTTGATGAAGTGTTCGATCTACCAAATCAAGCGGTTCTGAGAGAAGATTGTTCCAATTTTGTAGAAAAACTGGGAAATGATGAAGAAGACAGAGTTTCTATTTTGTCTGATTTAGAATCTATACTTACTTTTTATTGTAAAAGTAGAAATATGAAATATGAAAAAAATAATGGTTGGATAGATATCTTACTACCACTGCTTACTTTAAAAGTACCTCGCTCAACTACATATAATTTATTTGAAGCCATAAGAGATACATTTATTCCTCAAAGCTGTCACAGGAAAAATGGAAATGCTTTTCATATTTTACGGTGAGTAACTAATTTGTTCTAATTTATGTATTACTATGATTTTCAAGTTTTAGAATTTGATTATCATATTGTCATAGAATTTTTAGTTTTATTCATACAATGTCCCACATCCTACATATTTCTCTATGGCTCTTATCATAATTTAAAAGAATTATAGAGGAACTACATTGGGATGGGACACTGTATATCTATATTACAGTAATATTAATATCCATTTTTAAATATATCCAGATAAACCCAGTTTTTATGGTTTCCTTTATTATTAGTTTAACCTTCATGCTTTTTAGAACGACAATTATGTTAATTGTGTTTATTTACCTAGGTACTAAAAGATATTTGAAATATGTATTTAGTTTTTACAAGACAAACAAACACTACTTTCAAATTGATTACACATTTGTTAAAAAGCATGAAGCCTTCACACCAGTGAAACATAACTTCAAAAATTATAAATGTTTAGTTTAGTTTATTTGCTTACTGCAATTATTATGTGCTCATTCACTTTACTATTTTAAACGTACATGTATGAAGTATTTACTGATGTGAAACCTACTTGCCGAAAAATGTAACATGTAGCTTTAAGACAAATTTGTTAAAATGTAGCATGTGTATTCCACATCCTATATTAATTTACTTGTATCCACTGTATATTTTCAAATAGTGAAGGTATAAACCTCTATAAAGTCTTGGTCTATATTTTAAATTTTCAGTTTGCTGCTGTTGTATCACGACCCAGAACTATGTTCTTTTTTGGACACAAAACGGATAACTCCTGAAATGTACTGCACCGTATGGTTTCAGTCCCTTTTCGCAGCTACCTGCAATCTACCTGTTGTGATTAATATGTGGGATTACTACTTTCAACAATCTGATCCTTTCTTTGTTTTCTTCTTGTCATTAATCATGGTTATCAACGCTAGAGATGAAATTATGAAAATGACTGATGAAAATCGAGATGAAATCGCGTCGGTTTTGAGTCAGATGCCTTGTGCTTTAGAACCAGGCGATGTTACCGATTTCTGCTCCTTAGCTCATTATTACACCATGAAAACACCTAGTTCGTTCCGAACTGATCTTATGCAGGTAAAATTAATATTTTTAACAAGATATTAAGATATGAATTTCAAATATAAATAAGGAACAAGGAGGAATAAGTCAATTTCAAAGACATTGTCTTTGTTTTTTTAATGAAGTATAAATTTAATTTCTGCAATAACTAAATTACTTTTATAGTTCAGAAAATAAATACAATCTTTTCCTTTTCTTTAAATATTTACTTTTCTTTTTTAACTTAATTTAATCCAGAAAATTACGTTGTATGTATATCTGGAAATTGTACTTCGTACTAAAATTAATAAATAACAATTTAACGACACTTGAGCAACTGTTATAAGATTATGTATATGTATAAATTTCCAAAGATTGTCATTTGATAATATTTAGTCTGTAACGTAATATAAAGTCTAATATTGATTTTCAAGTAACATGTTACTTTCGATTATCCTCCGCTTTTTTTAACTTGCAGGAATTGTACAGTAGTAGAGGGGAGGAATCTACCCTCGTATCTCAAGCTTTGTGTTTGCCTGTTTCCGTCAATGAACTTATAAGAAACACGGATACAATTCGAAGTAATTCCACAGATAACGTCCGGTTTTTTTTGATTGATTGTAGACCTGTCGATCAATTTAACGCAGGTCATCTACCTACCGCCTTCCATTTAGATTGCAATCTTATGCTGCAAGAACCACAAGCATTCGCCACCGCAGTCCAAGGACTACTTTCAGCTCAAAAACAAGCTATAGCTGCAAATTCTCATGCAGGTATTATGTTTATTGCATAAAAGGAATTATGTATAACAATTATTGCATTCAATTCGTAGTTAAATTGATTGAATTTTATTTACTGCAGGAGGCGAACATCTTTGTTTCTTAGGTTCAGGTCGTAATGAAGAAGACCAATATACCAATATGGTTGTGTCCTCATTTTTGCAAAAGCATACACAGTACGTGTCAATTTTAACAGGTGGTTATATCGCAATTCACAACTTTTTCGAGGACAATTTAGACGAATTTATCCAAGACCACAACAGAAACGCGTGCATAGTGTGCGCCCCTACCGACCTTCAGAAACATTCTCGCGAAATACAAAAGAATACGCCCAATTCACGCGACATTTTCGGAAAATTATCGGCTGCTATGAAAAGCAAGTCGGTAGAAGTAAAAGAAAAGTTTCTCGATTACATAGTGAATCCCAATGCAGGAAGTCCTGTTCAAGAGAAGCATGTGTCCAGTTCTGATCGAAAAGGAAAGAGATACAGGAATGTTGCCCCTGTTTTCAGTATTGACGATGATCAGGATAACGTTACCGAGTTTCAGGTATTTATTTATTTATTAGAAAAAGCTTACACGACTTATAATACAATTTTAAAAGTAACTGTGAATAACGGAAACTAAATTAATTATGGTTAACAACAAATAAACCGCTTTTACTAAAGTATTTAAACGTTAATAAAGCAATGTTGTGGTTTTTAAAGAAGTGTTCATTTACTGCAACCTTCACAAACTTAATTTTCATTTTAATTTGTATTAATCTTGTCAAATGTTACTCAGTCGTGTAAAAGGTTTTAAATCCCGTTGAATCATATAATAATAATGTTTCGTAATTAGTGGCGTTTCTATTTTCTTATAAATACAGGATATTAAATTCTATCTACATCAAACTGATATAATAAAATAATTCGTATTTTTAATATAAAAGAAATATATTATTAGGAATATTTAAATAATAACTTCAAAAATCGCCTCTTAATAAATTTGTATTTTCTACACATTATGACGTTTAAAATTGTTATTATTAAAGGGAGCTGAAGAAGATACCAAAGAAGTAGTTTCCTTAAGCACCTGGTTAAAAAGTCAGGATGTCATTGAGCAGTTTCCATGCCAAGAAGTCATGGTTAATAGGTACATGTACAAGAGTCTATTAGTTATCACAGAAAATAATATGTTAGTACTTAGAGAACTGCCTGATAAGAAAGGCATGGCGGAAATAATAGTGAGAAGACCATTGTCAGCTATAGTAAAAATTACTGCAAAGAAACGTCACCCAGACCTTATAACGTTCAAGTATGGTGAAACAGTAGGTGATAGCCTTCAAATATCTGACATGGATAGGTTCCTCATACCCAATGCAACCAAAGCAACAAGTATTGTATCTGAGCAAATTGTGAAGCAGTTAAATGCAAAAGATTGATCCATGTACTTATTAGGTCTGCGTCTTTTGTAAATATTTTAAATTATGAATACACATATATATTTTGAACCCTTAATAAAAGGGTTTCCTGTTAGAGAATACCCAAAGATGTTGTAATAAACAGAAACAGTAAAATTTCGCAACTAACATTCGATAATTAACATACATTTTATTACTTTACATGCATTAATTTTAACAGTGTACGAAACACCAATTGTTAATTGTATTTAAATACTTTAATTGGAATTGTGATTTTATCTTCATTTTTTGAGTGAAAAGTCTTAATGCAATTATTTTTTAGACACTACAAAGCTGTAAATGGTATTTACACTTTATATAAATCTGTTTATATTCTTTCATGTAGTATCAATTCTAAAATTTGAACTGATTTAAACAATACTAACAATTAGTTGTTTTTGTTGACAAATTATTTAGTCTTGTAAGTTAAAACAAAAAAATTATGTTTGTTAACTATGTTAACAGATTACTTTAAGAATAAATATTAAGTAAATGTTTGCTTTCTTATTACAATTTTAAATTTCTGAAAAAGTATTTGAAATTTCTTTAGACAGTATCCTACATGATTTTCATAATATTTGATGCAATTGAGTCATAGTGCCCAATACTAAATAAGACAAAACTGATAAAATACAGGTGTTCTTAATAAGAGGGTTGTGTTTTATAGACAAGTAGCTACTTTTCAAAGAATAGGGCTAATTTAGAAATTCACCTATCAAACTTATCAATAACAATAGATCAAAACAGATCAATGTTAAGGCATTTATGTTCAGCTCGTGTAACCATAATATAACTTAAAAAAGAAATAATTTTGAAAATAGATTAAAAATCCTACCTTTTAATTACCATCCATCAATAAACAAACACGTTTTCTGCTACATTAGTCACTGTTACTAGTGTAGTTGTTTTTTAACGTATTTCATCAACCACCATAGAAAGTTTCTGCTTTCTATTATAAACAGTTGGTAGCAGTCTGTTTTGAGGTTGGGAACTGTTTCTGATATCTAACCTATAAAAACAGTTAAGAAACACAATTTATCACATACAGTTTAAAAAATGGTAAGTGTTACTAAATATACAAATCGATTTTTAAAATGAAATTAATTCCAGGGTAAAGCACGTAAAACGCGTAAGATTGCTGAAAAGCGATTTGCAAAAATGAAAAAAATGATTAGTCCCAGCGATCCTAGAATTAAAGCATCCATGCGAGCTCCCCCGAAAAAGAAGAAACCCGAAAATCCGTACGAAATAAAAGTGCATGAAGCCCCGCAAGCGAGTTCGGCTCTATTTTTCCAATACAATACACAGTTAGGCCCACCATTTCATATACTGCTAGATACAAATTTCATTAATTTCTCAATTAAAAATAAATTAGATATCATTCAGAGTATGATGGACTGTTTATATGCTAAGTGTATACCGTATGTCACAGATTGTGTTTTGGGTGAATTAGAAAAGTTAGGACGAAAATATAAAGTGGCTTTACGCATTATTAAAGATCCACGTTTTGAAAGAATTCATTGTCTTCATAAAGGCACTTATGCCGATGACTGTTTAGTACAAAGAGTAACTCAACATAAGTGCTATATTGTGGCTACAAATGATAAAGATTTGAAGAGGAGAATACGTAAAATACCTGGAGTTCCAATAATGTATGTAGCGCAGCACCGATACACTATTGAAAGGATGCCTGATGCTTATGGTGCACCAAAAACATAATTTTAAATATATAATATCAATAAATATTATATTTGTTTTTACTTTCAACAAAACCTCTTGTATTCTACTATCTGATACTTGTGCCTTTTTAAATTTATTAGAACTAATAAATGAACTTTTACTAATGTTAATACTTTTGAAATAAAAAACTTATCTTACAGAAATATGAACTAAAAGAAATGTTTATTTATCTCTTTTTTTATATTAAACTCACATGAGCTATTACCACTACTTTTGAAAATGCTTTTATAAGAAAACATGAAATTATTTTTGTGAATTTTTAAATTAAGAATACAAAAAAAGATTAGTGAAAAAAGCTTACTTATAACATGTTTCCCATGTAATTTCAGAGCATTAAAATGAAACTGCTGCAAAGAACTAATCTCTTGCATTTACCTAAAAAATAAAATCATCAAAATGAATAAACCAAATTCATGCAATTAGTACTCACAATATCGTCGATTTTTAAAATCGAACGAACTGTTTCTGTAGCAAGTGTTATAGCCATGGTTGACACTAGAAGAGGCTGAACTACATTCTCTTCTAATATGTCCGTAATTGTTCCTTTTCTGACATTTATACCTGCAGAAATTTCACCTTTTGCATGTCTAGCTCTTAATTCTGTTACAGTCTTAAAAAGAAAAAATTAATAATTTTGCAGTTTTCTCACAATAAAATATAAATAAGCCTATAGTATTTTACACTTGAATCTGTTAGATATTAATTTATTATGATAAATTTAGGAGCTAAAATCAACTAATATTAAACAGTACAATTTTTTGTATATAAAAAAGAATATATCCATACTATATTAATTATAATTAAATTCAATTGTTACTTGAACAAATTACTCGTAATTTACCTGGATCGGATTAAGTCCGGCATTTTCAGCGAGTGTGAAAGGAATAATTTCAAGAGCGTTAGCGTAAGCTCGAAGGCATATGGAGTCTACTCCTTCGATTTGATCAGCTTGTGCTGCTAGTTTAAGTGCTAACTCTATCTCAGGTGCACCACCACCAGCAATAACGGCTCGTTTTCTGACGAGACACCGTACAACGCACAACGCGTCGTGTAATGATCTCTCTGCTTCTTCCATAACCAATTTATTTGATCCACGCACCAACAATGTAATAGTTTTTCCCGGATTTTGAATCCCTATACGATGAAACATACATTTTAATTTCAACTAGAAAAAACTTTTATGGTGAATGTAAAAAAGGTTATTTGTTAACAATTACGTATTTTATTTTTATTTTTTATGTATAGTATTTCTGCAGAAATACATAGGACACCTTAACAGAGGCTGCTAATTATTATGTAATAATATAAGCCTTTTAGTAGATATAAAATTTGAATTAATTAAAATATGAAATTTAAAAGAGAAAGAGCATCATAATAATATTTGAATGGAAAATTACATTTGAAAACCTTTTTAATTAAAATTGCTTACCAGTAATTTTAACCATTCGATTTCCACCAAACCCAACCTCTTCGGCCAATTCAGCATTTGAAAGGTTTTCTGTAGTAAAGTGATCAAGAGAGGCGATTGGTCTGCATCCTAATGTTTTGGAAACAAATTCAATATCTTCTCTTTCAATGTCCTTTACTACTAAACACTTGATTTTATCCAAAAAGTGCAAGGCTAAGTCAGAAACTGCATCACGAAGGATAGACTTTTGAATCTACAAATAAACAGTGCTTTCAGAAAATCAACTTGTGGTAAAAATAAATAAAATTTATCAATAGGAAAACAAAAAAAAAAAAACAAAAATCATACCAGTAAAACATTACAGCCAACTTTTTTTATCTGCTTCACAATATTTAAAATGTAAGCTCTTTCTTCTTTCAAAATCCTGTCCATTTGTGCATAATCTGATACAATAATGTTATGATCCATGTCAGTTTTTGGAGCAGAAATGCAGAATTGTATTAAACCTATTTTAGCTCGTTCAATTCTTTTGGGTCCATTTATGTTAGCTGCACGATGGGGAAATACTAAACCTTCTACAAGTTCAGTATCCTCAACCGTACCACCCAGTTGCTTAATAACTTTTATGTCACTCAAATTAACTACTTGTTCTCTTCCTACAATTAATAAATAAATAATTAATATAAACTATACAACCTCTCAAGTTAAAAATAACTTTCAATTAATATTGACACTCTATATATGTAGGTTTGTCTTGTTATAAAATGAGATACTTTTATTAACTAATAATCATTTACCATTACCTGGTTCTACTATTTTCAGGACAGCATCAACTGCTAACGGAGCTAACTGACTAGACTGCTGAGATACGACTTTCGAGTTTAATGAAGTAGATGCAGTTTTTACAAGTTGTTCACGATTATCCAGCTGAACAGGAGTGGCGATACCATTTAAAACCTAAAATTAGTAAAAATTAGAATATTCTCAAATAAATGTTTTAAGCACATTATGAATAAAAACTAAAGTTAAATTTTATATATAATACATATTTACATACTTCAACTGCACGTGCTGCTGCTCTTTGAAAAGCATCAGATATTGCTGTTGGATGAATACCACGAGATAATAATTTTTCAGCAGCATTCAATAATGAACCAGCCATTACAACAACTGAAGTTGTTCCATCACCTGCTTCTATATCTTGTGCTCTAGATAATTCCACTAGCTATTGATTATTAAATGGATTATTGTGCATTCAGCTTATGCTTAAAATATTATACATACCATTTTAGCTGCTGGATGGATTACATTCATTTGCTTTAAAATGGTAGCACCGTCATTTGTTATAGTTACTTCTCCATTCCCAGCTTGAATCTGTAAGGAACAAACGGTATGGTTATTTAACTAACCAAGTATTTATCAAGCTACAGTACCATTTTATCCATCCCTTTAGGTCCCAAACTTGTTCGAATTGCATCACTGACAGCTGAAAATTTAAAGTGTTTTTAATAAAAATCTAACTAATGTTACAGTAAACAATCTACTTAGTTGAAGGTAAAACAATAAAAATTGACTAGTTAGTTAATGATTAAAATGTTTCGATGTTATATTTTTCTCATATATATACCTTTTGCAGCGTTAATATTACTTGAACGAATATCGGTAGGTTTACTTTTATCTTTATAAGCAACATGTCTCGATCCACTATTATCACCGCCAGCTACTAAAGGAGTCATTTTATATTATTTTTTATATAAAAATATGTATACGCCTGTTAATAAGAGGATGACTACCGATTATTAATGTTTCACGGACTTTTTTTACAAACGTTGACAGCGATTGTTTACATGAGTTCTTTGACAACCGACATCTATAGCTACCATAGATAATAAATATACAAAGCGTATGATAGCTACAATACATAGGCTGCATCATAGACAAAAGAAGTTACCTAACACCATAGATTGTTGGCAACCAGTATATCTCATCTCGTATATACTACGCTAAGGACTTCCATCCACAAATGAATTGATGAAATCGATAACAAAATTATCATCTAAATATTTGGTCGGATTTATTTGAAAACACTGCAGCTATATAAAAAAATTCAATGTTCACTGTCCAATTGGGATACTTTTGCTCTGTGACTGCTACTGTACTTTTTACTCATAGATAGTAGATACACAAAGGGTTTACGTACGAGTAACAATGAAAAATTCATGAACGTACCTAACCAAACATGTTCGATTCCTATTTTATACATTATAAAAAAAAACAACACATTCCTCTTTATATAAGTTTATTTGCTAAAAATTGTACCATTTCAATACAAACATTTTCAAAATCTGGAATGAGACTCAATACTATAAAGAAAACAAGCATTCACACTTAAAAATACAATACTATAATAATTAAATTTAAATTACAACTACTATTAAAAGAAATAGAAGCAACATCTAGATTACTTATGCCTAGGATTGCGTTTAACAGGTGTATTTTGTTTTCCTACTCTTGATGCTGCAAACTTTTTGTTTTTGAACTTCTTATTTTTAAAAGGTCTTCCCGTTTGCTGTATTGGAATCACTCTACTATCCTTATCTTCCTGATTAATTTTTGGGGCGGCTATCGTCAACACGCCATCAGACGACAAATTTGACTGTATGTTCTTCATATCATGTCCCTCTGGGATAACATATCTTCTAACAAAATGTCTGGAGATATATCCATGTTCATCGGGCTTTTCTTCATGTTTCCCTTCAACAGTTATTGTGTTTTTATCGTCATCAACTTTTACAGTTATTTCATCTGGAGCAAACTGCTGTACATCAACATTAACTTGAAACTTATCTTCATCTGCCTTAATTGGTTCATAATTGGATCTGGATTGTGGTAATACTTGTGGGGTATTGAGGAGAGATCTGGTGATAGCTGTTATAGGTGGGAAAATATCATCGTCGTCCACCTCCATTCCAAACTGTTGACCCAACAGTCTTGAAGGGTGATAGCCTAATCGATCTGTCCAAATTAATGGAATTATAGACATCTTGATAGTCTCTTAAACCTTTTCTTTTAATAATAACACAAGCGGTTACTTTATAACGCAGGTAATCAGTCACCAATCACTTACAATACTCTACTGCTTTCACTCACGATATCTCTACTGAAACTGCTGCAGCCGTTTCATACCGTTCTTATATAGGTTTTCTTAGTTTCTAGAAATTTCTAGAAGCTATGCGCATATTTGACCAATCAGAAATATACGAGCGGTGCAAAGAACCAATCAGACTAGATTTTTCAAATTACTAGAAAATGCCAGAACTGGCTGGAACATTCAAATATCGATATTATGACCGAAGGTGTGTTTTATTCTGTTTTATTAAAAATTGGTAAAATGAAGCACTAAATTTTAAATAATGCCTTTGTAACTCATTTTTCGCTTTCCTTTTAACATCAAACAGCTTCTTTTCGCGACACATTTTGAAGTACAACAACGTTATTCATTATGCAACTTTTTTATCAATAATCAATACACATTAAATATTAGTATATCATTAATTTAATGTGTAAACTGGGGTTAAACTTAACTCATTCTCAATAATCTATATACATATTATAAGCTCATTAATGAAGCTAACAAACTATGTACGTAAAAGGCGACTACAGAATAAGATACATATTGTAGAATTATCCGGGATATTTAAGACCTATGCTTATTGTTTTTAAATAATGTACTGTAAACATAAATTTTGTCAATTAGTGTGCGTGGTTTAGTTCAACAGAAAAGTGGTAAACAAACTGAAAATCTGTGGTAACTGGTAAGCAGTTTTGAAGATTGCCATCAATATTAAATGAAGCTTTAGTGCGTCCGCATTAATTTCAACCAAATGAAAAGTTAATAGGTAGAAAACCAAGGATTTATTCATGAGTACCCGTAGCCGGTTATATTGTTCAAAGACTCAGGATCGACAATATCAACAGATAAAGATAAATTTCAAGCTCACCTAGATATTCAGCAATTTTCTCCTGATGAAATCTCCGTTAATGTCCTTGGCAATAAAATCGTTATAGAAGGAAGACATGAAGGAAAGTAGGACGGGCATGGCTTTGTATCACGCCATTTTATAGGGAAGTATATTCTACCTGATGGTTATGATATTAGAATATTATCAATTGCAGCTCCTAAAATGGATCAGCAAGTAACTGAAAAAAAAAAACGTGAAATCTAAACCAGCAGCATTAAAGGATATTGAACAGAAAGAAGAAGAAAGAACAAAATTTTTTTCTAAGTTATAATGTTTGTTTAACTTTTGCAAATTTTGAAAATAAGACAGTCCTATTCATTTATGTATGATTAGAGAGTCAGTAATAAATATATACCTAATCTTTGAATGTTGGCTTTGTACAATTGAAAGGTACATGAAATTATGATTTGCAATATAACACTGTAAGATTGATAGTTTTTTTTTTTACCAACCACAGAAGGACTTGCAATAACAAAAAATTATAACAAGAATAATTCTGAAACCGGCAACTTTTAAGTCAGCGTTCTTGGGGCCACTGTGCTGAACGATCAGTAAGAGGAACAAAGATTACATCCATAAGTGGTGTTCGTCTTACAGTTCCATCCTCAAGTTTATCTATCTGCTCAAGTGCTTGATCCCCTCCAGAAGAACCCACAGGTAGTATTAGTCTTCCACCAACCTGTAATGAAATATGAAACATCTGTATTCCTTCCTAGTTCAAGAAAATGTTTGTTAAAACTACAGTTTAAAACTTACTTTTAACTGCTCTATGAGAGCTTGTGGAATAGTAGAAGCTGCTGCACCAACATGAATGGCATTATATGGACTATATTCTAGAACACCAAGACGACCATCACCAACTATTATTTTAACTCTCCCAGATTCTAATAGATCTGGATTTCCTTCTTTCATGTTCTCAATAGACTTGTTTACCAGTTCAGGTATATGTTCAACACCAACGGCTAGTCTAAAACAATATTACTAATTTGTTAAATGTTTGTGTAATTGAATGTCAGAATACTAACCCATCTTTACCCAACATAGTAGCCATACAGGCAGTAAGGTAACCACTTCCAGAACCAACATCTAAAACTCTTTCTCCAGGTAGTAATTTATCTTTCAGTAACTCCAATGCATAGGCATGCATATGAGGAGCACTAATTGTAACACCATAGCCTATTCCTTGTGGACTATCTGTGTAAGGGTTGGATTTGCAGTAGAAACCTCTATCAACTTTTAACATTGCATTTTCTACAATGTCACTTTTAATAACATTAGAAGCTAGAACAAAAAATGTAAAATAAAAATATATACAATGCATTTAAATTTTTCTGAAAACCATTTACCTCGAAGATATCGTACTAATTCTTGGTTTGTTCTCCCTTTTGCTTTCCATGCCATTTTAAAGTACTTATTAACTTGGTGCTTTACTATTATATAGACTTTAGGAGTCAATTTACGTTCAAATAGTTATGTTTACACATTTACTCCATTTGTTAGTTTTAAACTTTGACATTTATGTCCTTGACGTTAAATTCTATGGGTGCACCTTAGAATACAAATGCTCTCAGGATACGCACGTAATTAATAATCCTGACCAAAAAATTAACGTAAACGAAATAAAATAATTAATAAATATCCAATAATTCATATATTATCCATAAATTTTCACTTTGTGTAAGTTGCTATTAATGCAGGTAAAAATTAATTTAATTTTCTCCTGCTACACTAACGACCAGAGTTCGATTCTTTGCCGATGCAATATTTTTTTCTTCTTAAGTTAATAAATAAAATAAATTAAGATTATTATACTCATTGTTTTAAAGATCACTAGTAAACTAGAATGGAATCTATTAGCCTGGAGTAAAGAGGGGCAGAGGAAAATCTAGTAAGATTACTGTTTATAAAACAGAGACTTGGGATGTTCTACTTTTCGGGAGATGTGAAAATTGCTCAGAATAGTAGGGAATGGAGGAGTGTGTTCAAGCAGTCTTCGGACTAACGAACTTACGAAGATGATGGTCAAATACTGCTCTTTCGTTAAATAGTATATTTATATACAAATTGATTTTCTAAACACTATGAACATTAAAATAGCCAGTTCAATTCAAACGAAAAGGCAACGCAATTCAAGTCGGGTGTTCAATATGAATAATACTTTCTTTAAAAGAGATTGTTTACTGCTTTTTAAAACTTTTTAAAATTGGATAAATATTGTCAAATGCTTCATAAATTTCTTGTCGTACTTTAGCGCCCGTTAAAACAACTTTTCCCGAAACAAAAATGAGTAAAACGATTCTAGGCTTAACCATTCGGTAAATTAGCCCAGGAAACAATTCAGGTTCATATGAACTAAAAGAACCATGAGTAAGAACAAGTCCTTCCAATCGAATTGGAAATTTCACATCACAACTTCCCACCATATTTTGTATTTTAAAGTCAAGGAACTTAGCAGGGAATCCTAATTTTTGGATTATTCTGGCATATTTTCTTGCAGCTAAACGAGAATCTTCTTCGCTTTTTGCACCTGTGCATACCATTTTACCAGAAGAAAAAATTAGTGCGGTGGTGCGCGGCTCTCTTATACGCATTATTACAGCGGCAAAACGTTTAGGATTATATTCTGCATTACGTGCGTGCAAGGCGATTTTTTTCAAATCTAATTTACAATTTAAATTAACTGTTGATACAATGTTTCTGAAAATCACAGAATTATTACTTAGTTAATGCTGTAAGTTTCACGTCAAGCATTACTTACTGTAGTTGTGGAACAATGCCAGGATCTGCAGAATGAGGTGTAAGTGGAGTCATTGGAGCTGGTGTTGCAGGACCAATACTTGGTGGTGTTACTGAGTTATTTGATCCTCCAACATTAACCATTGACGAAGACATCATGGAATGTTGCTGTTATAATAAAATAATTAACACTTTGTTCATGTCTGCTGAATTAGTTTATTTTTTACATGCATATAGAACAACTTCTTGATTTAAATAAAAGATTTTCCTGCAGTATATACTATTTTGTTTTGAATTAAAAACTGTTCAGAAACTAACTGTACATAAGTTTTATATAATGTGAAGTTTTGTGGAGTCATTTGACTTTGCTGATCAAGATACTACAGATTACTTACAGGAGTTGTTGCCTGCATCATACTTTGTGGTGTAGTGAATCCAGGTACATATTTTGTAGGTTGCTGGATAATATTCATACTCATTCCAAGTCCAAGGGTAGGTGTTAAGCCCCCCATTGGAGCTAATGGAGGCACCTGTTGATTTTGTTGGTTTGATTGCTGTTGCTGTTGTAAAGCATTCGGAAGAATTTGTTGGTCTTCTTCAGGTTGATGAAGTGGAGTACCTACAGTAATTAATTAATCATTACTTTTTATTACTACTTGTTAGGCGATTGAACTTGCCTATACTGGGTATACTAAACCCAGGACTGGGAAGCATTTGATCCATTTTAAGTAGTTTTTACTTAGAATTTTCTTAAATATGACCCTATTTTTTTTAATCAATTCCACTTTGGAAAACGTTTTACCGCCGTTATTACTTTTCCTTCTAAAAACCTATTTGTTTTTGTTTATAACCTCACTCATCTCCTCATCTGTACTCAACAACACAAGTCATAGAGAAGAAAACAATCTATAAACACAAACCATTGAAGTGGAGTGAATCTGTAGTCAATGACACAAACTGACACAAACAATGCTTTACTAAACCATTGAACTTCGATTGATAGCATAGATTAGAGATATACAATACTTTATGGACTGATAGCAATTGATAGTGTCTATTCGCACGAAGAAGAATCTTGTTGATTATCTTATGAGCTTCTTACTTTATTTTAAACATAGGTGCACAAATTTTTAAAAATTGAGTTGTTATTGTTTATAATTTTCAATGTAAATCAAAGAAATGTCTGACTTTATGATTGAAAAAATATTAATGCTTTAAATAAAACGTAATTCATAATCTTTCCGAAGTAAGGTTGGCTGTGATAACTTTTTTCTGTCAATCTTATTTTGGTATACAAGTATACAAATATGCAATTTTCAGTGTAATTTTGACTTCAACATACACACCGAACGCACGATATTTCACTACCCTACCGGTTATGGTAAAGTTAGTTCAACAATAAATTAATAAAGTAAGAAGGATTTTCATGTTTTAAAATCTAACAAGGTAAATTAAGTGAATATGTTTATATTACAATAAATCAAATTTGTTCAGAACATAAAACTGTTATTTGTTTGCATCAGTCACATTGTTGAAATTTGGTTTTAGAATTTTAGATAAAAATTAGTTTCAATTTGGGGGTAAAATGGCAGGCCCCGATGTTGCAGCTTTGGCAGCGGACTTAGCTCGTGCGGTAGAGCTAACTATGAGCTCTGATGCTTCACAAGCTGATCGAATTAAAGCATACAATGCATGTGAGAGCTTCAAAGAAACTTCTCCACTTTGTGCAGAGGCAGGTCTTTATTTGGCTGCTGGTACTCAGTATTCATTAGTTTCAAGGCATTTTGGATTGCAATTAATGGAACACACTGTAAAATATAGATGGAATCACATTTCACAGCAGGAAAAGCTGTTCATTAAGGTTAGTCATAGTGTGGATGATAAATAATGTAAACTATTTTTTTTAATTGTTAAGGTTGATATTTTGCATCATGATTTGTTTCAATTGCTGTAGTAACTGTAAAATTTTAATAACTGATATTTTTTATATTTTCATTTTGAAGGAAAATGCAATGAAGTTATTAGCAGCTGGAGGTATAAGTGAAGAGTCTCACATGAAAGATGCTTTAAGTAGAGTAATTGTGGAAATGGTTAAAAGAGAGTGGCCCCAACAATGGCCAGGCCTTCTGGCAGAACTTTCTGATGCCTGTGCTTGTGGAGAGACACAGACTGAACTTGTTCTTTTAGTGTTCCTTCGATTAGTTGAGGATGTTGCTCTATTGCAGGTGATGTTTTAATATATAAAAGTCCATTAATGTCAACTTCTACCTTTAATCTTTTTACAGATTCTCGAATCAAACCAAAGACGTAAAGATATCTATCAAGCATTAACAACAAACATGGCAATAATTTTCGATTTCTTTTTAAGACTTATTGAATTACATGTAAGTCAATTTAGACAGCAAAGTGATGCTGGTGATGTTAATAAAGCAAATTCTCATGGTCGTGTAGTTCAAGTGGTTCTTTTAACACTTACTGGCTTTGTTGAATGGGTATCTATGACTCACATTATGGTCCATGAGGGAAGATTACTTCAAATTTTATGTTTACTCTTGAATGATGGTGCTTTTCAGTATGCAAGTGCAGAATGTCTTTTACAGGTAAACATAAATCACACTTACTTATAGACTTAAATGAAATATTAATCATTTTGATTGTAGATAGTAAATCGAAAAGGAAAAATGGAGGAAAGAAAGCCTTTGTTGATGTTGTTTAGTGATCAAACTGCCCAATGTCTTTTAGGAGCTTCAAAGTTACAAAATACTAGTTTAAATGAACAGCAGTACTTATTTCAGAAACGGCTAATTCAAGTAAAATTAACTAACTTAAAATTATCAAATTTAGTTAGTTACTCATTTTTCCTTTAAGGTTTTGACAGGACTTGGAACTCAGTTGTGTGCATTATGGGGCAAAGAAGGAGTAGGTCGCCCACAAAATTTTTCTCTGTTCTTGGATGCCATTCTAGAATTCTCAAGTCATCCAAGTTTAATTTTAGCCCATTTAGCAAATCCTCTTTGGAATAGCATGCTTAAACATGATCATATTTCACGAGACTCAGTTTTTTTGTCATATATTCCTAGATGGGTAAGAATCACCTCTCCAAAAATTGTTAAACTTAATTATCCACCAGGAAAGGCTACATTGTCTTTGGAAGATCCGGCAACTTACATCAGAATGGACTTCGATAGTGACGAGGAATTTTCGGTGTTCTTTCATCGTTGCCGCTCTGATTTTTTGGATACCCTAAGGTTGATTAATTTATAATTTAAATATTATATTGAATAGAAGCAAGTCAACTAAAACTATTTACAGGCAGGCAACTGTGGTCGCACCCTTGGTAACTTTTGGTTATATGGAACAGTGGCTCATGAAATGTCTACAAATACCAAACACTACATTTGGTTTAAGTATCAATGATCCTTTACATCTGGAGTGGGAAGCTTTGGGAGCTTGCCTGGAAAGTGTCCTTAGTCGGGTTTTACAAGCACAAGAAAGACCTTCCATACCAACTGGTTTGAGGTAAGTGATCTTGGTGAAACATCATGGGCAGTAAAGATCAAGTTTGTTTTTAGATTATTACAGTTGTGTTTGGCATATCAACCTGCCGATCCTCTTATACTATCTACTCTGTTGACATGCATTTCAGCGTTGTTTGTGTTTCTGAGTATGTCTTCTGGACACATGGCACCCCAAATCAATTCAGTTGCTATCTCAGGTGCTGCTTTATTGCCACAGGTAAAGTTATGAATCTATTTTTTATTAATTGATCCGCTTGCTAATAAACGTGCTCTATTTAGGTGTTGGAAAAGATATTTTCTGCTTTGGTGTATTCTCCTGAGGGACAAACGAAAGACACACGTACTCGAGCTGTTAAAAACGTTCGACGCCATGCGGCCTCCCTCATGGTTAAAATAGGCAACAAATATCCATTGCTATTACTGCCAGTGTTTGACCAAATTCGTTCAACAATCGAAACGCTTTCAGCACCAAATGCATCAGCTCAACTTAGTGTACTGGAGCGTGTAACGTTGCAGGAAGCTCTTCTTCTTATTTCGAACCACTTTTGCGATTGCGAACGGCAGTGTACGTTCGTGGGAGAAGTTTTACGGGAAGCAAACACACAATGGCTTGCGTTGGCGGGAGCCCGTGCGTTTGAGAATGCGCGCGAGTTTGTACGATTTGTAGGACTAGATAAACCACCTGGTGAGGCTGGAGTTGATGATAAAACTGGTTCGAACCGTAGCAGTCTTGTTTATTGTCTGAACTTGTTAGTGGGCGTGGTGAAGAGATGCGCATGGCCAGAAGATCCGGAACGAGCAACAAGGGGCGGGTTTGTTGTGGCCTACACGGAATCAGGCATGTATTTACAAATTTTTTTTATTAAAGCAAATAGAAAATTTTTCTCTACAAATAAGGGATATTATTTTGCATTTTGTAGTCGATAGCGACATAAAATTTAACTTTTTCGTTTCTTTTTTATAAAAACAGGTAATCCAGTTTGTCGAAATCCGGCGGCACCCCACGTCGTTCCTTTATTGCCACATGTTCTTTCCCTAATTAGAATATTCAATGAACTGTTTATACCGGAGGTGCAAGCAATTTTTAATCAGGAGTACAAAGGTTGTCTGGCTATGTTAGATGTAGAACGGGCGAATTTGCTAGGCCTTGTTGGTCATCATACAACAACAGAATCGAATGATGTTCAAGGAAATCAAACACCCTATGAGAGAATGCAACGGTTTCTAACAGGACTTCATGAAAGCTGCTATCACATGATGGGTTCAATTGGACCGTCATTAGGAAGGGATTTGTATTCACTACCCGATTTAGGCCCTGCCATTGTTAACAGTGTTCTCTCTTTTCTTGAGGTAAGTGAAAGAGATATTCGTAAATATTGTACGTATGATTCACGTATTTTTTTAGTTCATTCCTGAATACAGATTGAGGCCAATTATTAGAGTATTTCTAAAGCCGTTCTTTCATGCTTGCCCTCCGAGTTTCTACGAGTCCGTAGTGTTGCCTGTTATTGTGCACTTTGCACCCCTTAGTAAGTTTATTTACATTTATTTGAAATAATTATACTATTAAATTTTTATTCTAGTGGTTAATCGTTTATATACCAAGTGGCAATACGTGAATGAGCTTCGTAACAGAGAAGCAGCAGATGATAACAGTACTGATACCCAGGAGGTTCTGGAAGATATTCTGACACGCGCGCTTACACGCGAATACCTCGAATTGTTAAAGGTAGCTTTGGTTGGTGGCAGTCTTTCTCCCGATACTATGGAGACTGATGACTTGAGTATGGATGGACCTCCACCTCCTACACGAACTAATATGGCGACAGAGGTAATTTCCGATCTTGGTACGTTATTACTGCGGTCGGAAACAACGTGCCAGTCGCTTGTATTGGCTGTGTTAGGGGCTCTCGCTTGGTCCGATAGTAATGCATCTCTTAAGGCCACGTACTTGGCAGGACCAGTGGTGCGACAGCTCGTTGCTGACCATTCGCTGAATGGTGCAATGGCCGCGCATGTCATTGCTGCAATTTTGAATGCACTCACGTTACATGGTCAGCATGATGCAAACCAAGGCTGTCTCTTAACTTTGGGGGCTCAAATGTATGAGATGCTTAGGCCAACATTTCCTGAGGTACTTTCTGTTATGCAACAGGTACCAGGTGTGAATCCGGTGGACTTGCAAAAACTTGACGAGCGTATATCTGGATCGACCAGTAAAGGAAACAAAGTAGAAAAGGTCAAGAAGGATTTATTTAAAAAGATTACGGGCACGGTAAGTAATTGAAAGGATATTTAAGATAGCTATAAATTTGGGAACGGTACAGAAATATAATTTTTCTTAAAGTTGATTGGTCGAAGTATGGGTCAACTTTTCAAAAAAGAAGTTAAAATACAAGACCTACCAAAACTCGAATTGCCGAAAAAAGTGGGAAAAGAAGAATTAGCGCCAGATCTTCGAAACATATTCACCGTATGACTTATTGAGGTGCTGAAGATCGATTGTGTACTATTAATTTTTTGTTGTACATTCCTAAATTATTATTTTCCTGTCGACGTAATACGCGGTCGTCGCATTTGTAAATACATTTTGTTATGACATTTAGTTCGTATGAATAAAACAATTAATTTGTCGTGTTGTTTTTATTCATTGAAAATTAACAAAAAAATTAATCAAAAACCATCACTCGAGAGCTGCGACGTTGTGGCAGTTATAACCTTTCTCCTCGAGATATCTGTATCATAACGATCAATTTTTGTGGAAATGAAGTCACAAGAAAATCAAAAATAAAAATTAGTAATTTCAAAAGTTTTACTTCCGAAATCAACAAAAATATGAGTCATCTTAAGTGTTTAATTCGTCTTTGCTTTGCATAAATATTATATATACACACATGCTTACGAATTAAATACGAAAACTCGTAATTTATGTACGAGACAAAATGACTAGACAATTTGTTAGTTCAATAAAAAAATTACCAATTTAATTTACCTACTAATTATTTTTCCTTAAGCAACTGAATCTTTCTATTTTTACTTGCAAGCGGGCTGATTAAAATACATACAATTCTCTGAGAAATGTATACTACTTTTCATGAGTATCTGAATATAAAAAGGGATCGTTGTGATATCAGAGTAGACAAGGAGCAGAGACCACCTTCGAACAAAAAGAAATCAACGATCGACTCAATTTATAATATATATATATATAAACAATAATATTGAAGATTGTATATAATACAACGAAATGAAATTTACAGTAGTAATTACATTATCATCATTACTTTTTTGTTTGTTCTCTTCCAAAATTAGTGCTTAATAGAAGCATCAGCATCGTTCGTGGTAGTGTATTTTATAATGTATGTAAATGTACTTGTCATTATCTATATCGTCGAGATGTAGTAAAAACACGAAGTATCTATCGTTTTCTTCATTTTTCTTCATTATTATATTATATAAACAGGTAACCTAACATAATTTAACAACGTCTAAGTCTCTCTCGTCAAACGTCAACAGCGGATGATGATAATGATGGAGGACGACGACGACGTCGACGGTGTATGTCTACGCGGCACCACCGTCTGCGTTGCCGTTCCGAAGCCGGTGCCGTCACCGATAATGTATCAATTGCTGTTGCTGTTTTGGAGCTCAGTCGCCGACGTCGATTTCGCGTGATTGTTTGCGTCGCAAGAGTTGCTTAGGTTTAATGATGCGGCTGCGGCAGCGGGCCGAAAGTCCGTGCAGTATGGGAACAACTTGTGGCATCGTAGCTTGAAGTCTTCTATTAAACTATCACAATCGCCCAGGGCTCCGCTCTTCAGCGCCTTTAGTACGTTTGCGCATGTCTGCATGCAGACAAACCATTTATAGACATTCAAGCAAAACAAAAATGAGGGGGTCCATATAAGATTTTTTTGAGTTAATTGTATGACAATGGAGCCCTACTTATATTGTACTTTGCTAAAACCCCATTATATAAATACACGAGAATTTTTATCTTGATATAGTCTGGTCATCATTTTCAATTTAAATTGCACTTCATAACGCTTGGGGTTGCTTTTAATTCTATTTTCATTGTATTTGTGACTTCAGTGCACAATAATCCTTACAAAGAGTGACATACATTGAAACCCATTATTTAAGAATATAAACTGTTTAAATAATATAATTACAGTTTCCAGAAAAAAAATGAAGGCCAGCTCAAGGGGATGAGATTCTCAGATTAAATTGTGTATTTTGATATAGGTTTCGGCAGAATATACCGTTTTGGGCTCCATTTTTTTCATTATTACATTAAAAAAAAAAACTCTTTGAATAAGATGTAACCGGTACTTATAAAGGGTTGAAGGTATAAATAATTCCAAATAGAAAAATATTAAACTTTATACCTAGTTCAAGAATCGAAGAGTGTTCACTCAGCAATTTGAACTGTCCCTTTAAGAGAACAGCTGTAAAAATTGATGTCTTCTGGGTTTTGGGTTTGATTTTCTCAAGTAATTGTATTTGAAGTACTAGATTTAAGGTATTTAAAAAAGTTAAAAAACACACACTACAGTTCTATTTAAGAAAAGTCAACATAATTCACCTTTTCGACTTTTTTGCATTAAATAAACAATAGGAAGGTACCTACTGTCTGCTAATTTGTTAATAAAGATTTTTATTAACCAATTTAATCTTTATAAATCTACCACCGAAATTAAAGAATTGAAATTTAAAGGATTTGAATATTTTATCAAATAATTTTTCTTTAGTTTAAAAGGAGTATTACCAAAAAACATTCAATATTATGAAAATTGTTAAGGCGTTCGTTTTATGGTGCTTGTTCCAAATTTTTACCTCTTTTTTTGTAATTTCCATTTTCAGTTTCAGAGAAACCTTTAGCAAACATTCAGTTTTGTTCTGTATAGTTTAAAATAATATTTGTCGTTGATAATTAAATAATATTAGTACTTACCTGAATATTTACATCCTTAAATTTATTGTCTAAACTGGTAACAAGTTTAAGTGCACATTCTTGATTATTAGGGTTGAGCTGATAAAGCACTTTACAGCACTCGAGGGTGGCCTCTATACTGTCGCCCTGCTTTGATAAGTATTCCGAATTCAATTCGGTCGAATTCTTCTTTCGTAACAGTGTCTCTGTCTCCTTCTCCAACACTTCTTTAACTGTTTCATCTAAACTGTCTCTTACCCGTTTCAGGAAATCCGAAAATTGGATTAGACATGAATGAAGCTTGGGATTATTCTCGCTTACACTGTATCCCCTTTTTAACGACTGCAACATAAGCAGTACCTTTTCTAAAATAAAAAGAAAAAATAACAGACGTGCCTTTTGAGTTTATTGGATAGTCTATATCTTACCTTTCCTATAGTATATCTCGAACGCCATAAGATGAGTTTCTATCCTATTTTTGGCTAAGCTTTGCAGAGGCTGAAGGAACTTTATGGCTTGTTCTAATGGATCACTGACCTGTAATTAGTAAAATATTTTGTAACATTTGATTACCACCGTTACCTGTTAGCAAAATCTAATGATTAAGAACTAAAAATTACAGATTCCTTTTCATGAAATTAACATGAAGAAAAACAGAGCTTAAAGGTTTATATTTAGCTAAGCACTCGGCTATATGTATATCGGAATTACTTACTTTTGCTAATTTTTCTGGGATCAATTCATCTAATTGTGGTGTGTCTGCTTCAACGTCACCCTGTTGCTTAGATTTGTGGTACTGATCTTTTTTGACTTGAGCTTGAGCCGCCTGTGCTATTTCTTGTTCCGCTTTTCTTCGCGCTTTCCTCTGTTTGTTTCGGAGCTTTTTTAACTCTGAAGGTGCTAAATTCTCTGTAATAATAAAAATACAACGTGTAATTATACAACACGCTATTGAAATGTAACTTCTTCAAACATACCGGGATAGGGGTTAAGGAATTGGTTTAATGGTATTATTTGTACACTATGAATTTAAATTTTACACACTATACATGCCGGCGTTGCCTGTAACGAACGTTGCATTGAAGCGATCCCCACTACGAACTCGACTACGTGGCCGAGTAGAGGGGGAACATTCGTTGCATGATTTCGTTACATAGCAACTCGCATGAAACGAAGTTACCCTACCGTGCGTAAAGTTTCACTTGAAAAACTTTGTTACAACTGTTATTATTAAATTAAAAATTAAAATGGAAGACTTTTCGTTATTGCTATGAGAAAAAATACGCATTAATAGTAACATTAAACTATATTTTTATATAAACACCTTAAATATTTTTTTTAAAAATTTAGACTAATTTCGCTCAAACAAGACCAAGGAAAATTTCGAAAAAACAAACCAATTCGGTTACAAATAAAAAACGCCTATTTATTGGTTTATTAATTTACTAGGACATAAAAAAATGTTTTTTAGAGAGGACACGGTTATTGTTCCTGTTAATGTTACGAGACTTTTAATGCTGTCTTTTACTATTAGCAGTGCTTGTACATTTAGACCATACCATAAATGAACATATTGTACAATACAGTGCGGCATTGAGCGAACAAAGCAAGTTCAAAAATGTGACAGAACAAAAGACTTTTTTCCTTTTATTAAAACGGTCATTTGTTATGCCACCGCGCGTATGTTTCTACACACTCGCGATTTAATGAATCAGTTGCATTCATAATATTTTTGCAAAAAAGAAAAAACCGCAAACTTTCTCCGAGTTTCTTTAGAATTCCTAGACGAATTAAGCGGAGTCGTGACAAGAAAGACAGTAAATATGTGTTCTACATCAATTGTACATATTTATACATGTATGGACACAAAGTAATAAAGGCATAACATACAGGTCGTTACAAATAATATTCCGCAACACGCGCGCCAATGTTCATAAATTACATTCCCTCCAAAATATGTTTATTATACCATCATCATAGCTGTATGACGTATTGTATAGTACAGTAACTAATTCTTGTATGTTCTGGCAAGTAGAACATGTTCGGTTTTATAGGAAATTACGAAAAACGCCTTGCAATATATTTAATTAAAACACATCATGTTATTAATTTTAGTTTTTCTTTGTTCGCGCTCGCGATTTTTCCTTTAAATGTTAGAAATCGGTATGCTGTTACCCAAGACACTTGTTAATGTACAATTCTGAAGGTGTATAATGTTTTCTTTTTTTTTAAATTTAAATTACATACCTTCTTTCATAACGATATCAATACCATATCACCTAATCATTGTTTCTTTTAAATTACGTTAACCGTTGTGGCCCCGGATTTTCTTAAATGTACATCTAATTTTCAAATTTGGATACGCAAAACTTCGTTCTTTACCGTGGTTCAAAACAATTTTAATTTGTATGACATTAAAGCGCCAGGATTTTGAATAATCGAAGGAAATGTTCAATAATTTTATGATCTTGTACTTTAAATCTCAAACATTAAAAATTTAATGGTTATTTAATTTAAATAATTAATTTATTTTAATGTAACATGTAACCAATTAATTGTAATATACACCCGAATATAAACATATAAACCCGCATACTTCTTCGCAACTGTTTACTTCCACCTCGAATACGTAAATTAATTAAAAATTGTGATAAAAAACATAATATTAGTTAGTTTTACTTTTTAGTTAGACATTTTAATAGTTAGGTAGTTCCAAAATACTGTATTAGGATACGATTTAATTGCAAGACAAAAACGATTCAATTAAAACTATGAATTGATTCATTTAGTGAAAATTTGCGATCTCGCATAGTATGACTAATTTTTTAAACCATCCATAGTCCGTTAATTTTTTTAAAACTTCTCAAAAAAGACAACAAATTTAACGGTGTTGTTTTCACTGTTGTAATCGCTGCATTGGTTCAAATATAATTATTCAACTTCATTAAATGGCACCTGATCTCTTATTAGGTGTATAATAAATTAAAAATTTCTTGTTGGAAATTATTATACAACTGTAATTTAGAAAAATGCGGAAGTCCAAGCTGTGTGGGAACGCGCTTTTTAAAATGGTATTATAAAATCAATGTTTCATTTGTAATGTAGAAAAACAAATTTTAATTTTACGCTTTGTACTGTGCACACGCCTTTACAATTTTGATGTGATGTAGGTACGTTTTTGTAGGCTACCTATAGGTGAATATAACGTCAATTTGTTATGCATAATGTTCTCATGAAATGTTTACCTTACATAAAACTTTATTAAAACTAATTAAAGAGCGCGTTAAGAGGGTAAAAAGCCCGATAAGTAAGTTAAATTTTGGGATTATGTCAAACACTAAATCGGAGACTTCAACGGTAGTTCAAGAAAGAAACCTTAGAAGGTTAAACTAAACTTATCCCACAAGTATTTAAACACAAAATATATCTTATAAAAGTAATCTATGAAAGTAACCCTTTTTGTTTAAATAAAATTTTGTGAAAGTAAATAGGATTCTTATTATATATCAAGGAAAAGTAAATTGTAAAACCTAAGATCCGCAATTCCGCGCAAAGTCCGGTTATTTTTATAAATGCGGAAGTTCGCGCAGTATCATACGTTACTTCTTTTATTTTCTATTGTTATAGTTGCGATTTATTTTAAGTATCTATATTTGTCCATTAATAAACCGCAAGATAATTTTAGCGATCGGACTAAATTTTTCTAATACCAACAAGACACAAGACAATTATTATTGCATTGAACGCTAAGAAAGGTTGGCGTACCGCAAACTGCGAGCACGTCAGCGGCCACACCTTTTCGGTTTTCTTGGCGTTTAGAGAAAGGCATAGAGCACAGGACAGGCACCAACGAACGAACAAAGTTCGAAAGAACGTATACTTACATAGAAGTGGAACGTGCTCGGCAAGCAATTTAAAGGGTACAACAATTGTTTAAATAACAAAAGTGGACGGTTTTGTAATTTGGGTCAGCCTGTGACCGGTCTCTCATAATAAATACACGTAGATACCGAAATAATATCGTTAGAAACTGTGCATGTTAAACAGGAGGCCTTCGTTTTCCCCGATTCGATTCAATTCGTATATCAGTGGATCTTGGTTATTCGGGGCTCGATGAATAAGTTTTATTGCGGGCCTTTCTCAAATCAAAAAAAAATAAAAGCTAAACTATAAAATTCCTAGATATCGCGTAATTTTCAATTTTTACACAACGGATGCATGGGGACTTTTGTGAAGTCCTGCAAAGTGGGGTGCCTGATGGGATTGCATCTCTTGCATGATCTTAAAAGATCCGCTACTGTTTGAATTATTGCAAAAAGAGAAATTTTGCTAGTCCTAATTTGAAAATTGGTTAAAAATGATACGCAATTGTGAATTATTTCCTTAGATTTAACATGTTTTCGCCAAAAAATGTCACCTTGCCGCGCTTCTACATGAAATAAATTTAAATTCGCTTGAACTACAACAAAAAGCCAAATTTTGCGCGTCAAAATTTGAAAATTAGTTAAAAATGACACGAAATTGTGAATCATTTCCTTCAATTTCGGAAATACACATGTCACTTTCCGACACCTTGCGGCGCTTTTAAATGAAACAAACTTAATTTGGCTTGAACCACTATAAAGAGTAAAAAATTTTGCGCGTCCAAATTTGAAAATTGGTTAAAAAGGAATGGAAATTATTATGAACTATTTCCTTCTATTCTGTAAAAACATATTTTCATCAAAAGACATGCACCTAACACCTTACGACATCCTGCCTAGCTTTTATATCATACGAACTAATTAAAAATTGGTTTGAACTCATTGGTAGATTGTGGACATTCGCAGCCGCAAGCATAATATTTTGGGGTTTTTTATTCAACAAAAAAGAAAAAATCAATCTATAAAATTCCTAAACAATTTATGTGCGTAAACATTTACCTTTTTCTTTGCAATTAATAAATCAGTCGGTAGTTTTCACATAAATCTATATTTGAGAGTAGCAGCACACATTTAAAATTGCTTGTACTAAGTTGACACAGAACAATTTTCCGGCAAGAAGTAAACACATTTCCGGTAGTACTTCTGATCTGTTTCAGACTATAACTAATGATTTTTAACCGCTTATAGTTGTAGTAAAAGACCTAACGTTAAATATATGTACATATTTAATGGCACGAATAAAACGCTACTTCTATAGCTGTCAATTCCTTAAAATTGTTCGACAGTCTTCAATTGACATAACACGCTTTAGTTATTTACCGAACAAGTTTGTCTGATACGATTAACACAGCAGCCTGATTCAAATGCAGAACTTTCGAATTGTTAAAGCTCATTTTGCGTAGTTAATGAAGAAGTTCAAGTATTATTTCGTAACGAAATTTAAAATGAAAATATGAATCACACATTTAATGCCGTACCTTTTAACATTACAAAACATCCTGAGGAATCTCCTCTTTATTTTTTCTATTGTACTACATCCTACAGGTTTTGCTTTGTCAAAGTGTTTTGCCGTAGTAAAAAGAACGACGTGGGATTTTGCTATATACAATAAGTTTGCGACTCTGGTGAAAACTTTGTATCTAGTTGTAATTTGTTTGAATAATTATATTCTTACAAAAGCTTATTAAGCATTTATTCAAAATAAATTGACTCATCATCGTCATCATCATAGATCATATCAGAGTATTTGTATGGTTATGATTGGATAAATGAACACTGACTATAATTTTCACCAAAATGACGGAAAAAGGATAAACAAGGATAAAAACAGTTCATATAATTAATTATCAGATTTTTTTAAATAGGGTGTTGATAACCGTTAATAAGTATTTTTAAGGTTGTAATTATTTATGGACAATAAGATTAATTGATACTGTCCTTGTTCAGTAACAAACAGAGCTAACGTAAGACAATTTCAGCTTTGGAGATTATAAATGTTTAAAAATGAATCTATTATATTCTGCGATACATTTTTAAACGTACTGTATATTAAACAGTCAATCCTAATGTCATAGCCAGACATACAGGCGGGTATTTCATATATTTAACTCCAGAATTCAACGGTCTTATCTGTAATAAACAACAACAACACAACTTTCTATCGCCGGAAGAAAATGGAATAAGTAGAGTGCAAAGCGATTAAAAAGCCAATTTAACTGAACCGAGGTACGCATGCTAATGGCACTGCACATGTAAATACGAGACTACTAATGTCCCATAATATGTAGGTTGGCTACCATTAAACACTGGACCGCTCTTAAAAGTTGGAAATAAAATAATGGTGAATGAGATAACATCGAACCTCGAGCAATAAGCTCGGACACATGACAGAAAGTACCACTAAAAGACGAAATATGCATGCCCATGTTTTAAATGAATATATGATGGACAATACAGAAATCAGATGCTTCGTTTCAAGCAAAAGAAGAAACTCAAGGAGCACAGTTCTTACGACAACCTTAACCTAACCTAACCTAACCTTAAATTGTTGTTTTTAGAACATGTTTAATTATTCTTTCTTTTCCTTTGATTGAAAATGTCACTATTTTGTGATAATACAGTAGCGGAAAACACTTTGAAAAAGGAAACATTTTATGATGAATTTTGATTCAATCGATACTTTTCGGACAAACCTTTTATCAAGTTTGTTTCAGAATTTTGGGTTATATTTTTTATGTAGAATTTCTTGCACATATTTAAAAAAGATTTACACTTCACGCTAAATCATGAAATGCATTCATAATTTTCTATAATAAATTTAAAACTCTCTTCTTTAAATCGACGTAAATGGTAACCCATCCGAATGATTACATTCTCAACACAAACCGTCCACAATAACGAACCTTGGTCTAGACTAGAATTTCAGTTTCCAAATCCGAAAGTGTAAACGGGAGAGCGAAATCACTTCGAGTCATGAATGCGGTATTTTTCCGATAAAAATAACAATGTTTCTATTCCACGACTAACGAAAATTGTAATAACACATTGATAGATCTGTCCTCGATTGTTTATGGCGAGGTAACAGAAGACGATGATTAAATGAATTAAGTGATCTAACATTTTAACTTCCATCAACATTTTCCGAAGAAGTTTCTCTTTTTAATCATCATCAGCTAATTTCAGGATTTATTATCATCAGCTAAATCAACTTCACAAAATTACGTTACATATTTACCTCTCCTAGAACCATATACTGGAATGTAGAACTTACTAATTATTATAGTTTATCAGACAAAGGCTAGAACAAATACGTCAAGTTTTGTAAGGTGAAAGCAATTTTTTTATTTATAATCCGAAACAGATAAACACTTTTGACTGATAAAATTGTCTGCAGGTACTTTCAAATAAAGTATATACTTATCGACTAAATTTCGCGTTAATTTCAGGTTACTTAATATTCTAATTCGCGTGAAATATTAACAGTGGGGTAAATTATGATTTGTCACAGTCGCGTCGGCAAAGATGTTGGTGAAGTGTTACTAATCGACACGGATTTCCACTGTATCGGTTTCACTGGACGTTGAACTTGACCTTTAATGAGAGAAAGAGAGGCTGATGCTTTCGAAACGAACCGTTTTCGGTAAAATTCATTTACACTTTTTCTAATAAAACTTGACATTGAAAACGATCGCCACGGGGACCGCTGGAAAGATAAACCCGATAAAAAAAAAAAAAAAACGACGCCTCTTTTTGTATAAGGAAAAAGTGAAAGTCTATAAAGCGAGCTTTGACCATGGCGCTAAACACCGTGGCAACATCCTTATTAATAATGTTAAATGCGATAAAAAAAGAACTACATGGAAGTCGGGTTTTAATCGTGAACTAAATAAACTGTAACAGAATTCTAAACATACTAAAGAACGTATGTCTTAAATGGGCATGTACAAGTCCGTTTTCATTTCCTTTTCACGAATGCTATGTAAATGTTGCCAAATCTAGAGCAACAAGAATTGCGTACCCCTCGGTATAAATTTTATCGCGGTGTGTTGTCTATTCTAAAAGGTTTATGTAATATTTATACACCTACTAGGTTTTACCAGCGGCTTCGCTCGCATTCTTGTCTTAGTGTTAAAGATCATCGACGACCATATAAACCTAATTTTTGTAAGGCACTCTGTCCTTTTCGGTATTCCTGACAAAGTATGTACAAAATTTGATGATAGGTTTTACCCGCGACGATCACATAAAACTAATTTTTTCTGACCCTCGGGAACGGAATATTTTCCTGAATAAAAGTGGTAATACACAAGAGCTTCTGATTTTGTGAATTTTTAAAAATGTTCTTTCGTAGTAGCTGTCCTCATCAAATACTTTTATAGGTGATAACCCTTATACATATATGCACCTACACCCGGAGGAACAAAAAAAAATTAATTTTCTGTGTTGGCTAAAAAGTTATCACGAAATTTGATATTTACATTAGAACTAAGATTAATTGTCCTATCAATCGATTTTATTGCTATTAATTGGAACAATTGATAAACATAATCGATTGCCAAGTTTAATAATTAAAATTGAATGTTAATCTAGAGGATTGGAAAACAATGACGGTGTTGTAGAACACCAAAAGCTCAAACTCTACGCTAAAAGATGACGATGACGAGTCCTTTTGAAAAGTTGGTATCCTGAAATGAAGTTCTTAAATTTTATCTTGGGCAATATTTTTAGACATTGACCGCAATGTCGATAAAACAGACAACAAGATAAAATTTAAGAACCTTATTTGGAGATTTTAAGAATAGAATTCCTTTTCGAGAAAAGTAAGAAACAAATTGGACAAACTAAACGTTCTATTTATGTTAGATTCAAACAGCTTTTGATTAATGAAAATCCCAATGAACATTGCAGTAAAACATATCGTATTATGTTCGCTGGACCATAACCACCTTTAGTCCTTAGCTCTCTTCAGTCCTTGAAGAAGGTAACTTTGTTATCGTTTGACGTTGAGGTCTGAACCTATTACTGTTTTAGCCGCGATTATTAATCGATTAATCGGATAATTTTCTCAGCTAACTTTCGTAAAACCCTGCTTCGTTTAATTTGATACGTTGTCCTTGAGTAACTTAACCGTGGACAATCCCACCAGAGCAAACGACGTCGTTGTTCGTCGTGATTTCTTGGTGGACGCCGTCAACTGAGAGCTAAGAGCATGTTTAGAACACCTCACACCAGTATACAAAATAACTATAGTATTACAGTATAGTAACCTATTACATGCCCTTCTTCTTCGCGAACCGAGTCTCACCACAGTTAACAACGCAACCAGAAGCAACAGTTGGAAAACGAACGTGTTGCCGCGTATACTACATAGAAGAACAACCCTCGACGGAGATGGTCACTGTTAGATCGACCGGGAAAAACAAACGTGGAAAGCCGGAAAAGTGAATGCGCGCACGTGATTTTGTGCTGACTGAAATACGTTTTTTTCATTTTTTTTTTTTTTTAAGTGATTCGAAACTGTTTTGTTAGTGCCAGAAATAATTGCAAAAAAAGGAACAAGACACCTATTGTTATAATTTTCTTCCTTTTTACCCCACTTTATCGGATATCTGCGGAATACCTAACAAACAATTAAAAGTAAGATATGTTTCAATAACGTTAAAGTTTTTGATCCAAGAAATTAAATAATAATAACAATACCAGATTAATAAATAAAACAAAATTTTGTTCTCCTTAGATATTTGGAAGAACTTCTCAAATTTTGCCTGTCATGCACTTACAAAATAAAAGTTTACTAAAAGTCATTATATAATTAAAAATTCGAAATATTGTTTGTAACTGATATGTATTTCCACCTTGAATTCAATGGAGATTGTTGTCAAGTCCAAGATAATAAAAATTAGCTCGCAGCAATTAATAATAACTGTGTACAAACTAATCTTAATTGTGACCTAGTAAAAACCGCATAGCTAATTTATTTAGACATTTCTCCTTTTTCAAATAGTATCTATTTATCCATTTAGAAAGGTGCTTCCAAAAGAAGGTCGAAACAAGGTACCTACATATTTAAAATAAAGATGAAAATATGTCCAATAATAATTTAGGCAGTATACGCAAGTTGTGACAGACAATAACCTTCTAAGTCACTGATCAATAAGAAAAAATCTACATTACAACACTTTACTGTAATTTTCTAATTTTGATTAATTTAACTAAGACAAAAACGGTTTTTAAGAATTAGAAAAATGATACCTTTTCAAAAAAGAATTTAGCTGGGGTCTCAAAAGATACTAGGGTACTTTTTCATGTATTGGCTACAATTTACTTCTTCATAATTTTTTGATTATATTAACACTTAAAAAAACTCAATAATCTACAAGATTGAAGGGTGAAGGTGTATTACATATTTGAACCTCGTTTCTGGCCTCGTGCTTTCCAAGGCTGTGCAAGACACACCGCGATTGCTGCCTGATATTTGCGACAAATATATTACTTGCGTTATGATTCAAATTAGCTACACCTGAAGTAAATAACAAAAGAAAATGATAAATATGCAGCCGGCCTGCCTTCAACTTTCAAATGTTTAATAATAGTAATTATAACTTTCTTATGCGCGACATAAGAAGTTCTTAAAAATCGACGTAACTAACAGTAATCACCCTACACGCGAGAGGCTTTTACATAATTGGTCATTAGGTATTAGCTTATTATTTATCTGTGTGCCAGTTAATATTTTTATGTGATTAAGCCAATTAAGATTACCGACTGATTTATCTGATCCGATTTTGAGTTACTTAACTTGATTTTCCGATCGGTTTTTGATTTATGTTTTTCCAATCTAATATCAATCGTATAATATGTAGTATATTCTAGCTATTCTTGTTGTTGTCAGTAAATAATTGCATTTATAAAAGCGACAATGTGGCAGTGCACGGCATGTAACCTTTAGCTTCGTGACTGTTAAATTTCATGGCAAATGTACTACGTACACCTCAATCCAATCCTATCCTATCTTAACCTATGGTTCGATGAAAAATTATTTCTACGTATACACCTACCTTGACGAACAAAGTTGTTCGGTTCGTTAGTCAGACCTTTTCAATCGATCTTAATTTTTATTGTTACAATAGTACTATGTAGATATTTAATGGTTACTTGTTTCAATTAACAGTTAATTAATGGAAGTATCCGATTCTGATTGTCATTAAATACATAATTACTATTAGAAGTACCTACAGTCTAACAAGGAGCGGGTCAACTTGCCTTAACTAATTTGTTACGGAAAAATTTATGAACCAATTTGTAAATAGTTATTTGAAGAGATGAAGATCCATGTTAAGGTTAATTAACAAATGGCACTACTGTTTCATTAAATTAAAAGTCACGCCGAATTACTAAAAGTAAAAAGCGTGATTGTAGAGCAAAAATGTTATTTAACTCGAATTTTCTTCAACTGGAACATAACTGTAATCGCGTATCGTAGATTCGTCTGATATTTTCGATACGCATGTGACAGGCTCTAGTGAAGGTACAGCTCTAATTTATAACAAGAATTGATTTACGTTTAGTTAGACTTAAATCCACGATACACATCGATCAATCAATACTACAGATTGATTGTTATGACCGACCGATAATGGTTCATTTGAAAAGTAAAACCGAAACCCAACTGATCGATAATGATCATTATTATTGCAAAACTCATCAGAATAATAATAATCGAAAGTAAACACATAACGTATTTAAAACGCGCACACAATGCAGATTAATATTGATCAAATGAATTGCACTGATCCGAAAAAGGAATTCCGTAGCAAAAGAAAGTATGTACCCAAGTACCTCTATATTACATGCTCTGCACTCACAATACGATATGTTATATGACAGACCGACATGATATGATATTACTTGCACAATTTATACCGGTGTACCAACTTGTTCTGGACCATTAACAACAACTATGAATGTATTAAAGAACTATGAACACATAAACCTGATATGTACAATAGTAAAATATCTTTACATCACGTCATATTTTTCAAAAGATATTGCTCGACTTTTAATGACTGCGCATAATAGTTTAGAATATCCCTCGATTCGCCTATCCCCTATAGTGTCTATTAAATTGTATAATAGAAATAAGTGCAGGTCAGTCAATAGAAATATAATATATAATACTAAATAGTTTATGATGTTTAGATGTTTGATAATTAGTAATGTTTACATTCTCCATCCATGTAGCTGCAGAGTTATTGTATTCGATAGACACCTGTGTTGCCAATTTACGCACAGGACCGGCTTTTTGCCCGTAACCACGGTGTTCAACTCATTATGCGATTATGTATTTCATTTAGTTTAAACCCTCTAAATCTGTTACACCCTGTACATAGATTCACATTATTCGTAAAAAATAATAGCGATCAATTTTATTCCTATATCCATATCTATTTTAAACTAATTTTTCATTATTTGTCTGTATTACAGTTGCTATGGTTTTATTACATTGTCGTGTTTAGTGGTTCTTATTGTTTTGTTTACTGTTGAATTGTAAATCTCCACTTTCATTTTGATTAGCAACCGTTTCATTCGAAAGCAAAATAATTAAACCTAAACAGCACCATATATGTAGGTACAGACAAAGCGAGCACGCTTCGATTTAAATTCCTTCTAACGAAGATAATTTTTTCCTTCCGGCACCATGTTGTGCTTTCATGAAAAAGCACGTGCAACAATGAAACTTGGATGGCAATATTTTCAAGCCACTCATCGTCTTAGCGTAGCGGCCAGCCACAGTCCGATGCACTTGACATGACGATGATGATCTAACATTCTATACGCTGATTTGTGTCTACAATTTTCTAATATACATATTTCACTTACGTAGAAAAAAAAAATGGTAAGGGCAGCGATAAATTAAATAAATTTTCTGCAGGATAGAAACGTATGTTTTATGATAATTCTATTAGAACTTCTTGAAAATAATTGTAAGTAAAGTAATAGTGAAATTAGCAATCGTGCTAGGACACATGTGTTCTTTTATAAAATATACAATGAGCCATTTTTGTATTGCCCCATTGTAAAAGTAACTTCGTTTATTTACAATCACTTATTACCGCTAAAAAGACTGTTAAAGTTAAAGTGCCTATATATGAACGCCAAAAAGATTTTACGTGAAAGAGACTTCAACGCTAGGTTAAGAAACGAACCCATAAGAGAACTGGGATTACTGTCGTGATTTTTGGATTTTCACTAAACTGTCTGCCATTTTTTAATGTTTTCTTAGTTTACTTTTAAAATACATTTCAAGTGATTTATCATTTTTATTATAGGAGCTTTAAATAGGTTAAGATTGACAGTTAAAAAATGTCATAAAAATCGAACACGTATGCTATCGAAAGATTATAAATAATGATGTTCCGTGGGAAACGTTAAACATGTCAAAAGGAAATACGTAATAAAGCAATTGGAAAGTTGATTGTCATTCTGTTTTTAAAACAAACGTTCGGTTTCTATCTACTTACATGTATGTTGTCTGCATACGTGTAAGGTTATTCTCCTCTTTTCCGTTTCAAACAAAATGTCTCATAAATCGAGCAGTTAATAACAAATAGAAAGTGGACGACATTGTCCGTAATACAAAGCAATTAATAAGGAATTATTGAAGAAAATCTTATGATATACTGCAAGACATTTTCAACGTTTTGTAATAAAAACCAATTTTGCTAGATATGGAGGAAGAAATAAAAAGGATTATGGATGGTAAGGATTAGACTGATTGGTGATTATAAGATTTTAATAACTAATTAGTTAATTATTTACTTTTATCTCCTCTAACAGCAACGGCAAATATGGTGTGCTTTATAAAAATTTCAAACATTGTATTTTAGGACAAAAGTTTAAAAAAACATGTACATATATTTACGAATTAGTTGCAACGTATTTATAAACCACCAAATCTACTTAATTCGCCACAAAAAACATGTAAATTTAGTCCTTGATAAATTTATACATCGATTGTAAGTACCAAGAAATTGTACAAGCAAATTGATAACTAGACAATTTATTTCTATCATTTTTAATAATTTAGAACCCTAGAGCATTAAAGATCTAAATTAAGATTACATATGCGGTTGTCAATGTATATATAATACATTAAATGGTAATGCCAATCGCTAAAACAAATAAAAGTTGTTTCAAGTAAAAGGCAATACTTATTAAACGGTCATATGTTGTACGTTATTTTCTTTTAATAAGGTCCTGTAAAATTTACGATGCAAAACAAAGCTATAATGTTGTTAAACTCGCGAGAGAGGACGAACAGGTTTTGCAATGTAACAGTACAGTTATCCTAACAGTTTTTTTAAACGAATATTTATTTTAAGTCAGCTGTGACAGCTACGAATTATCTAAAAGCCGCTATAGAAAGAAAGCAGACAGGATGTTCACTTTCAAAACCCAAAAGAAGATTCGCAATTTTAAAAAAGCACATATACTTTTTACTTTTTTAAAAAGTTAATAGATCGAATGTCGTTAACCCTTGACAGGATGCTCAACGATTAGAGAAAGGTGCTGGCAAGTTATCTGAGTAATTTATAAGTTTCGGTAATTATTTTTAATTACTTACTTAATATCACTCG